GCTCCAAGGCTGCCTACCTCCTCACCACTCCCATGTGTTCCCGGGATCCGCATCATCAGCATCGCCTGAGAGCTTGTTGGAAATGCAGAATCTCAAATCCCATTTCTGAGCAGCTGAATCTGCATTTGCTAATTTCCCCCAGGTGATTCTAAGCATGTTCATATTTGGATGACACTTATTTTAATCATTTCCAACTTGGAGGGGGATGGAGAGGTCCTACATGGTACAACTTGGGCATCACAAGGTAATTACTTCTAAACAAATCTTAATCCCAGTAAAAAATTTTAGACAATTCCAATAAAATGATTGAAATTCTTAAATCCACATGGGAAAAGTAAATGTGCAAAGAAGAACAGGAAAACTCAAAAAAAAAAAAAAAAAAAAAAAACAGAATAAAAGGGAGATTAGCTCTATGAGCCACTAAATGTGATAACAAAAGCTCAATGAGTACCACAGTTTGCTCCCATCTCATGAAGAGTCAGATCAGTGTAATAGATCAGAGAGTCCAGAAGGGACTCAGATATGAAGGGAATTTAGAAGATGGTAAAGGTGAAGAGGATGGAGCCTCAACCAATGGGACTGGAATAGTGAGCCATCTGGGAAAAAATAAAGTGAGATTTTTACCTTCCACCTTCCACCCAAATAGATTTCCGTGAAGAAAATACGTAGAACTTACAAATAAAATACAAAATTATTTAAAAAGTGGAATAATTCTAAAAATAAGTTATGAATGGGGAAGGCATGTCACAAAACCCCAAAGCCATAAAACACTTCACATTTCACCATGTAGAATTTGGAAACTTTTACATGAAAAAAAAAAAATCTCATAAATTCAAAAAAATTGAGATCAAACAAGGAAAACATTCAAAGATGTATCAAAACACTAATTTACTTAATATATAAAAAGTACTTATGAATCAATAGGAAAGAATATAAATATATAATTATTGCAGCAAATATCAAGAGGAAGTTCATGTAATAATATGTGATATATAAAGATACTTAACTCACAATTAATGAAATACAAGCTATAACAAAATTTTATTTTTCATATAAAACAGTCACATTTAAAAGAATAATATGATGCACTGTTTTGGTGAGGATGTGGGGAAAAGGTACTCATAGATTGGACTGTCAATTGGATTATATGATTGGAGGATGGTTTGTAGTAGCTATCAAAATTAAAAATACACATGTCCTTTGACTCAACAAAATCATGGGTATGATGTGATTTACTATGGAAATATTGTAGAAATAAAAGGTGGGATACAACATCAAAAATGTGTAACACTAATATATTTGACTTGAGATACATAAATTTGCTTGGTATTTTTGCAGGAAAAGTGGAATTTGAATCATTTGCAGGAAAATGCACATTAGCAAGTGGGGGATGATAGTTTTTCTTTACACAATTAAATGTGAACTGTGTTGATGACTGAAGAGGAAAAAAGACAAATAACATAATAAAAAGAGTGAGTATAAGAGATAAAAATGCATTAATCATGCAGTCTCAGCATAAGGAGAGAGAAGGGATCTGCTCAGAAATAATTAAGATGTAATTATAAGAGCTGGAATGATTACTTTTAAGTGCTTGCAGGTGGTAAAGAAAACCAGTGATCAGCTTGTAATTATGAAGAAAACTGAATAGATATATATATAATTTTAAAATGTTCTTTATATCCATAACTCTTTTGTACATGAAGATATGAAAATATTTTATGGTCAGATGATAGAAAGGAAACTTGGAATAAAGACAGAAATCAACTCCTTAGAAGTCATAACGAGGGAGGTAAGAGGCCTTCAGAGATCAATACGATGGCCAGTGGTAAGGTGTCTGATGTGGTGATGGGAGGCCTGAGTTCCCAGCTCAGTGCTGGGTATGCTCGAGTCTAATGGGGGTATGGGGTTGTTATAGTGAGTGATCCCAAGTACCAAGTTCCATCTAGTTCCTAATATATCTGGGAGAAGACCCACATGCCTAAGAGGGCTGGTTTTTCAGCCACTCTGCAGACTTGAGTAAATCCACTGGGCCAGCTTGGTAGTGGATTCTCAACACTAGAATCTTGACAATCCTGGCCTTGGTTCTGGGGAGGTGGAGAATTGGGTGTTAACTCCCTTCCCTCCACTCACGTTTCTGGATTTTCCATGTCCTACCTAATTCCATGTTGGAAGAGCCCTAAGAATTCCTGGTCAAGGACCTCTCAGTATCAGATGAGGTTTGTGTTAGGACAGAGAACGAGGTAACTTCAGGTTACAGTGGAGGCTGTGAATTCACCTGCTAGCAACTTACAAAAGCCGACTCCCAAGCTCTTTCACATCATATGCCATGCAACCTGTGCTGAGAATCCAGCCTGGACCTACTAGTCCTTTGACAATAACTAGCTGCAGTCTTTACAACTAGAAGATCCCTTAGGAAATGAAGCTTTACATCTTAAAGTGCTTCATCTAATTTAATGATATTTTAAAGAAGATCTTAGAATGTGGCCTTGGGTCTGATGTATTCCGTATCAAATATCATGAATGTGATAAAACACTCTAAGGCTTAACACCAACGCCTTGTAAAACAGCTTGGTGTGCAGTTTGGAGTTGCTCCTTAGTGCAGAAATTTATGGGATGAGACTCTTGGATTTTTTCTGGTGTTTGTTTTGTTTTTACATTTTACAGAACGTGCACTGCCATCTGTGCTTGTCTTCCTGCTGGCAAGTCCTTTCCATTCCAAGCAAATAAGATTCCCTAAATTAGACAAAAAGAGAAAACACAGCAAAGCCCATAATTCTGAGAGGGGAATCACGGCAATTGCCTGCCATTCTGTGATCTTTAACTCAGGGCTGGGGGTTACTTTTTCTACCTTGAACTACGTTCTAAAAATATTCCTAGGGACCATACTGTATAATGTTTAGAAACAGGCTGTACTTATTATCAAAGAGGGAAATAACTAGGAAGAAATAAGATTGACTAGATGTTTCTAATAGAGCTGAATTGCTTTAAATCAAGTCAGCTTAAATCGTAATGTAGAAATCTTTCGTTTATCTCATCTGCCTATAAAAATGTGTTCTTAAAGCCCCATGCTAGGCCCGGAACTTGGAGTGATCTTTCTCTACCGCCCAGTGTTATGTGAAAATCACCTTCACATTTTTCTTCACATATACATGTAAAATCCAAGTATTGTTTATTTACCCATTTTCACAAAATTGGCTAAATTTCTTAAATAAATATGTTGATAAAACTTTACATCCCCACTGAGTAATTCTATTGCCTGTCAAGGCAATAACCAGAAGCCTGTTCTCTCTTTATTGTAAGGTGAAATACAATCATGGGAGAGGTGGTAAAGGCATGCCAGAACCAAATAGAGACTTTCTCTTTCACAAAATCAGGACTTTCGTAAAAAGAAAAAGAAATTTTCTCAGAAAGAGAAATGAACAGGAAACGACTTACTTTGTATGTTACACGAGGCCATGTCTATTTGCTTCCCATAATGGCGACCCCCTATCTAGGCTACAGGTTGCACTGCTCCAGGAGCCAGAGGCTGCACTAAAAATGAAATCTGCTGTAGTTGTGCAGTGCACAACCTGACCAATCACAAATGTCCCTTATTTTAGAAAACACTGATAGAGCCCAAAGGTCACTGGAGAGATAACAGTAGCTCAGTCACAGAAGAGAAAAAAGTATTTTTCTTTATTACATAAAGCCAGCATACTTTAGAACCTATTTTCTGTTTTTATCATTTGATATGATCTCAGACAGTAGAAAGATGTTACTGGAGCAGAAAGATCACAAGGCCTATGGGTAGATGTCTGGACTTCTAATTTCCATTCTAACACCAAGTTCCTGCAAAACAAACATCTTGGTATAGGTATGAATTGAGTAGCCCTGAATGATCATGAAGATCCCGTTAACACTAAGATCATATGACTCCTTACTCTTCACAGCAAGTTACCTGCTGTACTTTCAGAAAAGCACAGCCCTCATTTCAAAGCAGCATCTTTTTTCTATCTTTCAAAGTATGTTAGCAGCCAGTTCAAAACCCTGAGTAATAATGTGACATCTTATTCAAACAGGCTCCTTCCTGGAATGCAGCCCCTTCAATAAAGAGGTGCTTTCACTGGAGCCACCAAGTCCTTGCCACACCGCACATTTATTGTTCATTTGTTCGTTTCAAGTCTCCTTTTCCAGTTGCAAACAGGCAGATCAGTTCTCCTCAAATTTAGGTAAAAACATCTATCTGGGTGAGCTTCCTTATAAAATGGCCAGAGAGGCCTCTCTCTTTGCAAGCTGGATGATACAGCCTTTCTATTTGTGATTTCACCACCTATAGGCTTCATTTTTTTCCCTAAACCATGTTTTGGGCAGTATTTGGGTATTTAATTTTTTCTTTGGTAACCTTATTTTGAAACATTGACCAAATGGACCCTTCTTTTATTTGATGAGTGATTCTCGATGTTGGTCACACACTAGCTATTCTTTTATTCCTTTGCTTTCCTAATTGATAGGTTTGACTGTGTCCCCACCCAAATCTCATCTTGAATTCCCATGTGTGGTGGGAGGGACCCGGTGGGAAGTAATTGAATCATGGGGGCAGGTCTTTCCATGCTGTTCTCGATAGTGAATAAGTCTAATGAGATCTGATGGTTTTATAAGGGGGAGTTTCCCTGCACAAGCTCTCTCTTTGCCTTCTGCCATGATTGTGAGGCCTCCCCAACCATGTGGAACTGTGTTGGTATGGAAATTATTTTAAACTGAAGCCACTGGGGATTCAACAGGTGCAGAAAGAAGCCGCCTTGGTGCTTCCTTTATCTGACAAGCACTATCACAAACTGCCTCATTTGTTCTTCTAGAAACTCTATAGAATTCTATTCTTCCTATAGAATACATGACACACCTGGGGAGGAGGGTTTACATCATACACACCTGTGTCCCCCAACCCCTGAGGGTCTGATTTGGTCCATCAGGGGTTTAGGACTAGATATTGGGATTTTTCTTTTTAAAAAATAATCATGAAGACCCTTCAGATGGCAACCTTTCCCTTTCATTCTCCCATAGGAAGAGAAGAGTGATGGTCAGTGTAAAAGGCAAGCTGCAGAGAAGCACCACCAAGAGCCGGCTGCATGCTCAGGAGTGAATGCTGAACCTCCTCCTCATGGTTTCCGGTGTTCCACATGTTCAAAGAAACTTCTCTGGTAAGAACTGTAGCAACGGTGCATGGAAGTGTTACCAGAAAGGGTTCCCAATCCAGACCCCAGGAGAAGGCTCTTGGATCTCACACAAGAAAGAATTTAGGGTGAATCTACAGAGCAAGGTGAAAGCAAGTTTATTAGTTTGTTTTCACACTGCTAATAAAGACATATCCAAGACTGTTTATACAGGAAAGAGGTTTAATGGACTCACAGTTCCACATGGCTGGGGAGGCCTTACAATCATGGTGGAAGGCAAAGAGGAGTAAATCACGTCTTACATGGATGGCCACAGGCAAAGAGAGAGCTTGTGCAGGGAAACTCCCCCACTTACTAAACCACCAGATCTCATGGGGCTTATTCACTGTCATGAGAATAGCACAGGAAAGACCTGCTCCCATGATTCGATTACCTCCCACTGGGTCCCTCCCACAACATGTGGGAATTCAAGATGAGATTTGGGTGAGGACACAGTCAAATCCTATTGTAAGGCTGACTGAAAGGATGGAGAGGCAGACCCAGGGTCAGGTTTAGCAAGCTTATTTCAACCTGCCAGGCTGGCTGCCTCACCACAGGCAGTGAAGTCAGCAGCTTGGCTTACAGACTATGGGAGTTATATAGGGGGTTTGCAGGTAGCTGGGTGTTATTATAAGGAAAATTGCATCTTGGTTCTCAGGGACTGACATTCTGCTTAATTGGGTCAACGTCCTGGGTTCGAGCTGGGTGTGACCACATCCTGGAACCTAGGTGCCCTGTTTACAAGGCTTGAGGCTTAGCAGGGGAGAACGAGAATGGGGAGGGGGTCTATGGGCTTGCCTTGCTGTATCCCTAACATTCCAGTCTTTTGTTATACATATAAAAGAAAGGGAAAAGGGGGCTGTTTGTTTCTAGCTGCTTCATGTCATGCTGAGTAGGGATGCTGGTTGGGGTGAGGTTGGGTTACAAGTTGGTAGTCCTGTATTGTGCCATGGGTAAAACCTTGTAATTAATTATGCAAAAACTGGGTGAAAAGGTGTAAGAGGCAAGGGCCAAGGACCAAGAGGAGGAGGACAGTTATAGCAGGGCTGAGGAGGGGAAGCAGCCGAGGGGCCAAGGAGCTGAGAGACCAACCGGGCCAGGAGGGCCAGGCAGAAGAATTGTGTTTTTTTCATTTTTGGGGTTTGGTCTTTGAGCCCTTTGATAGTATTTTGTACTAACCTAGATTTATTGAGGTAGAAAAAGCATTGGTTTATTTAAAAAGAGGCACAGCTTTTTTTTTTTTTTTTCCAGCAGCGAGGAGGTCTCAGCCTCTGCGGTTTTTGTGGGGTGACTGCTGATGAAGAGTTTAGTTGGTTTTAGAGGTGAGTGATAGCATTTGCTAATTTTTTTTTTTTTTAACTGATGATTGGAAGTTTTGGGAGAGTGACTGGAAATATGATAGTGAGGTTTTTAGGCTTCCTGCTTTTAACCTGACACTAGTCGTGACTCCAAGGGCTACTCATAAGGGAATGAACTGTATTGTTCTTTCTGGGTGGGTGTGTAGGGTAGCAGGGACAGGGAGCTCTTGGTCTGGTGGGACAAGGTTAATGTTGGGGTAAGGTAGACCAGGGTGCAAGTATCTGTCCAGTTTGCGGATCCACAACCTACTTCTGTCTCCTGCCGAGGAGGAAGATGCCTGCGGTGTTAATGTAAACAGACAAGTGGGTTGAGAACAGGTGTTGGAGTGTGTAGGTTCCTTGTGTGTGGAGGGACTTGGTCCAGCTTCAGCAACCCAGAGGAGGAGAGAGAGACGCCTTTGAGAACTCCTGTCTGGGAAAGGGTTTCCATGTTTGAGAGGCAGAAGAGGAGGTAATGTGGAGGGGCTGGGTAAAGAGGCAGTTAGCTTCAGGGGAAACTGAATAATTTACTTGGAGTGAGGGATGGGAAGAGGGATGAGAGATGGCTTGAGCTGAGCCGCAGGCAGAGGGAGGGATGCTGCCTATGTGTGTGTGTCCGTTGGAAGAGGTGACACCTAAGAGGGCTTGGCCAAGTTTTGGGGTGTGGAGGGTTATGGGACTTTGGATGGCAGGGTGAGGGGGTTTTGCATGGTTGTAATTGGCAGTATATGTGGAGAGAAGTTTGGTAGCTCTGTTGGCAAGGGCAGTGGGATGGTTTTTAGTGAGGGTGAGGGCTCTGTCTACTTTGGATGGTGTGAGAAGCGAATGGGAATATGGTCCTAGATCTGAGAAACTGGGATGACCGAGTAGGCAGGAGAGGAAAGGGAAAGCAGGTATAGGGAGGTGGCTGATAGAGTCCTAGGGATCGTTAAACTCCTTCTGAGATTTTTGTCTTTTTTCTGTGTGGGAATGGGGGAGAGGAGAGGACTTTTAATATTTGCTATGAGGAGAGGCTGTCCCTCTTAGCTGATGTGTGGGGACAGGAGGACAGCGGAGGCCCCTTGAGAGGAAGTGACAGAGCACACACGACAGCTTGAGGTTATGTTTTTTAGTGAGGGAAATAGGCAGGATGAACAGATGTCAGGGCGAAGGAGAAGGTACAGGGGCGTGCGCCGATATGGAAGGATTGGTGAAGAGATGTTAGAATTTCTTTGGTTGGTTTTTGAGGGAGGATGACTTTTTTGATTTTTGACTATCCAGTTTCCTTGGAAGGAGACGCCTTGTTGTAACAATGAAGCTTTTTTGGTGGGGGATACTGGGGTTGGATTGTGGGTTGACGAGGAGGAGAGGGGCAGGCTCTTTTTTTGCTGCCTCGTCGGCGTTTCTGTTTGCTTCTGAGATTTCATCTGATCCTGTTTGGTGTCCTCAGCAGTGTGTAACTCCTGCCTTAGCTGGGAGGTGTGCAGCTTGGAGGAGCTTTAGAGATGGGGGTTTGCCTAGAGTGGTGAGGCATAAGGAAAGAGTGGGAGAGAACAGTATTAGATAGTGAACAAGTGAGGAGTTCGGTGGCACGTGGCACGTGGTACATGGCACGAGATAAATCCATCAACCTCCACAACCGAGACCTGTGAGGGATGAGTTGGTCCTGAAAATTCAGGCAAAGCTGAGTAGGTGCTTGGTATTAATTAAAAAAGAGACTGGCTTACCTGCTACTAACAGTTACCATGGGCCCCGATACAGTGACGGCGGATGGGGCTGGGGCCCGGTGCCCTGGGCTCTGTCAATCTTCAGCGGCTAAGCCAAGGCGCTGTGGGAGTGCAAGCGATTCTTCACCTTTTGTCTCAGTGAAGGGGTTGCGGGTTGGAGGTACAGGCTTTTCTGTCTGCCTGTTGGAGGACAGTCAGACTTCCAGTCGCCTGTCTGCTGGCAGATGGGGAAGGGGCCCTTTGGCGCCCGGGATTGGGACATGCCTGAGCCTAATGGCTTTCCTTGCCGCACTTGAAACATGCCCTCGGAGGTGCACTGCTTTTGGGTTTTTTGTGCCCCTGGGTGCCACAGCCAGGCTGTTTAGGTTGGTGCATGGGTGCTGCTAGACGCTGGTGTTTAGCACAATCTCTCTGGGTCTTGTCTATTTTACTTTGCTCATCCCTGATATGGAAGGCCAGGTTAAGGAGGTCTTGCTGTGGGGTCTGAGGGCCATCTTCAGCCTTTTAAGTTTGTGCTGGATGTCTGGAGCAGACTGGGAGATGAAATGAGTGTTAAGAACTATGGTGCCTTCTTGAGGCCAGGACTAACATGGGTGTATTTTTGGAGGGTGTCTGTAAAGGCGGGAAAGAAACTGGGCAGGATTTTTGTTTGCCTTTTGGGAAATTTCTCTGAGCTTTTCAAAATTTACAGCCTATGGGCAGCTTTGTTAAGGCCTGTGTTGAGGCAAGTAATCATTTGGTTACGAGATGCCCGGCTGGGATCTGTAGGCTGATATTCCCAGGCCTGTTTCTCTCGGGGGACAGCAGCCCCCCCCACAGGTTTAGTAGGGTCCTGCCAGCGGAGGTCATCAGCATGTGCCTGTGCCGTAAGCCACACTCTTTCCTTCTCTTCCAGGAGGAGAGAGTGCTACAGAGATCATGCCAGGTAAGTTCATTAGACTGGGTAAGATATTTAAATTCTTTAAGTGTCTAGATCGGAGGAGAAAGACCCGAGGCGCTTTTTGATTTGGGAGAGATCAGATAGATACAAGGGGACAGGAATGCGGACAATGCCTTCCACCCCCGCCACTTCTCTAAGGAGTAAGTGAGCTGGCTGCTGGGAATGCCGGTCCGGGAGCAAGTGTGGGGTGGAGATGGAGAGGAGTCGGAGTTGGAAGTGGGTGGGGGTGTGGAGGGGGGGGGAGGGGACAAAGGAAGAGCTAGAGCAGGGACATAGGGCAGAGGCTCTGGGCACTGGTGGGGAGAAGGGAAGTCAGCCAGGTCAAAAGAGGATGTGTTGTCTGCCGGGACTGTGGGAGGGGTTGAGCTGGGTTTCAAGCTCAACCTTGAAACATTGGGGAACCTCAGAACATTCACCACTGTGGTGGAAGAAATTTTCAAGGTCTTAAAGAATGTTGAAATTTAAAGTACCATTCTCAGGCTACTGAGAACCATTATCTCATTTATATTGGGGCCAGGCTATATTACAGTAGAAAATTAATCTCGTGGGCCTGACTTCAGACTGGAGACCAAAGGTGTCTGGATTCCGGAGGAGACATCCTAAAGGGGTAGTTTTAGACGGAATGGACTGGCCAGACCCCACGGTAAAAGGCCAGAAGAGGAGGAGGCTGCTGAGAAGGAAGGTAGGAGAGAGCATCCTCTGCCCTGTTTCTTCTACCTAAGATAGTGAATTCAGAACAGTCACTGTCCAACTAGGCATCCCCAAGATGACAGGACTGAAGCCCCTGGGGCTGGAAGGGCATCCTCAGCCCAGTGCTGGGACTTTGGGACAGAAAACAGAGGGTTGAGGAACATGGATGGAGGCAAACCTCTATCCACCTTACTGGCTAGGAGGTGATGATGTGGATGGAGATAACCACAGTTGGCAATGGAGGTCTGGGGTTTCCCTCCTGGGTCTGGAAAGGGGTTCAGGATGGGGGGGCTAGCTGTGGAGGCAGAGAGAGAAAGAGTGGCCAGCACCTACTCCCGTCCTGGGTTTCAGCA